CCATAATTTCTAAAAATTTGGCTTCTAGCAGAGCTGACTTAGGGAGGGAGAATACATATTTTCCTAGGTACCATAGTTTTAGAAGACCATTTTATTAGAAATTTTTTTATCTAATTTTTTGTAATGGTAATATGTCAGTTAAGGACTCCTGTTTTAATTTAGCTTTAAGCCCTAAAATCACTTCATAACCCCTAGGTCTAGAATGGCTGCATATTTCTCTAACTCATGCTTTTGTAAAGTATTATAACATAAACTATAACGTTACAACAAAGTTACAAAGTAAAATACTGTAGAACAAAGATTCAAAATATCTATTAAATTTTTAATTCCAAAAACGAAGATAAAAAAATCAAATAAAAAAAACTGTTATTCATGCATATAAATCGTGCGTTTTCTTTTAAATCAATCAATCTAAATAAGTCATACTGTTTTTTGCAATTAAATGATAATAACAACACATCTTTGACTGAATATAACTTATATAAAATAAAAAAAGTCCTCTAAAAAAAATGTCATTAATTTTAAAATGATTTCAAGTTTTGCTGTGGCTTTCCGGCATTTACCCGTGTTGACCGTAGGTAAAGACGGCATTGATTCATGATGACCGTGTTACCGTAACTTAAAACTATACATCAGACTTTACAGAACAGATTTAAGCTGAATATTTTTACTCTCTTCAGCCTATATAGTAATGCTTTTTAAGTTTACTTAATAAGTAAGAGATAACAATGCCGTTGACTTATATTTTAAATTTTTATTAGAATTTGTATTTTGTACAATATTACTGCTATGAATAAAAATTATTATTTTCTTGTTTAAAAATTTTTTTTTAACAATCAAATGAAAGTTTTTTTTTAAAGTTTTGAATTTTATTACAACACCTCTCTCCTCTTTCGTTTCTTTTTTTTAAGGACAATAATCTGAATCCGCGTCTGCTAACAACAATTTGTGAATTTTTGAGAGATACGTCCAGGAACTCGATTATTTTTGGTGCAATTTGTTGCATGCGTTGGTGAAGAACATTCATACAGTTTTAATAATTTTTAAAATGCGTTTTTATTTTTTGTTTTACTTTTTGATACAATTTTCTGTGCAATGATCGATAGTAGGGTTTGCAATTGCGGAGGTCTTTCTCAATCCCAGGATTCCGGGATTGAGAAACATTAATCCCGGATTGATCACGGGATTGAAAAACAGATACAGCATCTATATAGTATTAAGTAAAATAAAAACAATACACTCTTAAATAAAAATATATTTTATAAATGATGCTGTTTGCATTACATCGTTACATGTATAGAAGAAAAACATATTAATTAAAGTTATAAAATTTCATTAGAAATAAGGAAATATATCATGTTTCATGTACTTTAAAATATGACTTCAGGAAGGACAATGAAACGCGTCCAATGACGGTTGGGCAATGAAACGCGTCCAATGTTTCATTGCCCAACCTGTTACAAATTTTATTATTAAACAGTCCAGCGAAAGAAAATGCCCGCTCAGCCTGGACACTTGTCGTTTTCACCGTTATTAGAAATGAATAAACTCTTTCTAAATAATCACCACCACCATTTTCAAATAATGTAATTTCTTTTTGAATTTTCGATAACAATGTTTTATGTCTAACTGGTTGCATCGGTGATTGCGCTTCTTTAATTACACGATTAAGTTCATTTTCAATACTTAAAGTGTTATTTTCAGTTTCAGGTTCTTCAATAAAATGTTAGACTTAATTGATGCTCTTACTAAAGCAGGATTGGGAGCGTTTAATCTTTCCAGCAATTCTACCAACAGTTTTCAACATTTAAATGAAGAAGGCACTGTAATTATTTCTTCATCGACTTCAACGGAGCTTTGACCGTTATGCAGGTATTGCATTAGTCCACTCATATCAGTTCGACGTTCATGTTACGAGCCATTAAAGATGTACGCATTTCCTTGCTTGTATTATTGTCAGCATCTTTTAATTTTGAAAGTATAAAATTAATAGCAATGTCAGCTGTAAATAGGTAAGAATCTCGGCGACAAAGGGTTTCAACCATTGCTTTAATAGGAACTAAAGTTGTAATTATGTCTGATAATGTTGTCAAATCATCATGCGACAGAGCTATAGAATTATCTTGCACTGAGTAAATATCAAATAATGATTTTTCTATACATTTTTTACTTTATAAAATCGTTTAAGCATTAACAGAAGGCTACTCCACCTTGTTTTGCAACCCATAATTAAAGACAGTTGTTTTCCAAATTTAGCCTTAATATATTTTTGTAAAATGTTGTTCTTGGTAGGTGATCGTCTAAATATTATTATCAACTTGCGTACTTTTTTAATGACTGGTCCATAATGAACTTTATTTAGTTCAATTTTAGATCTTAAAGTTTCATGATTGTAGCCCAGTAAATCTTCCTCAATATCCTCATTTTCGGATGAACCACTGTCAAAAAGCAAGTTGAATGCCGTGGGCAAAACATAATTGTTGATTTGCAGCAAGCAACCTTCCAACTTTTTTCATAGCACTAGCTCTGTCGGTCATTATAGCCTTAATGTTGCCATGTAGATTAAAACAATGGTCTTTAAGTTTTTTTTATAATAGTTCAATGTATTTTTCGACTGTCATTGACCCTGTTATTTGCATTAAACCCATAATCCAAAACTGAGAATTTTTTCTATGAATGTTAATATTCGTATAGCGACAATTTCGAAGTGACGTCCATTCGTCAAAAGACAAAGAAAATTTCTCTCCTACCCCGAATTCTGTACTCTTGAGCGCTTTAATTTGCTGAACTAAACCTAATCTTATTTTCCTGTACTCTACTACATGATTACGAATTGTGTTTACTGACTTTGGTAAATTCCTGAATCACATAGCAGTTAGAGCGGCAAGTAAATCTATTGAAGAACAATTCACATTAAATGAAAGCCCGTCAAACGCCGTTAGACAAGCAAGTGTAGCGTGAAGTGTTTCATCTTCCTTTTCAAAAATTGAAAAAGATTCTGTTAATGGTTTAGATTTTTTTTTGGTGGTTTATCTGATGTGTTTTCTCCGGGAATATTAGGTTGGGTTGGACTTTCGACCTACACATTAACAGATTTTCAAAACCTTCTTGCCGTTTGGACAATTAACAAATCGCTGTTTGTCCTATCTCTTCTCGTAGAAAATATTTCCAAACAGCTGAGTTACTTTTAATTGTAAAATCCACATACGCCGTGCTTATTTAAGTTTTAATTTTAAGAGTAAATCTTGTAAGAGACGCCCGTTTTTTTTCAGTCTAAACAAGTTTATTTTGCAGAATTACAAAACAGAATAATTAAAAATAGAATTACTTTCTGCGATAGTATACTAAATAAAAATTATTTTATTGATGCGCATAAATTGTTGTTATTTTTATATATTTTTTTATTTCCCTTTTGTTTTGCTCGATTGTATAAGGAATCCCGGGTTTGATATTTGACAATCCCGGGATTTCGGGATTATAAAAAAAGTCGGGATCCCGGGATTTTGGGATACTGGGATTGCAAACCCTAATCGATACCGACGAGATTCTAGTTATAAAAACACTTTTCTATTTTTTTCAAGTAGAAAGTACGGTTAAAGGATTTTAACCGGAAGAACGCGCACAGTCACGGAGTTAAAACTCAATAAAAAGCAAAAAGCAGTGTTGTCTTAAAAACCAATTTTTCAATTAACGAAACATGTTATCAATTAATTTGAATAAAAATTGTTTTTTTTAGTAGGTTTGATATTGAAAATTTTAAAATCAATCAAGAGTTATAAAGATTTATCATAATAGTTATAAAGTATTATTACTTGTACAAATATTTAGTTTTTCTTTTGGTACAATGTGATACATGTTAGACTGTTAACATTGCTTTAATACTGGTAACACTCTGTATAAAACATAACAGTTAGTGCACATTTTTATGTTAGATTATATAATTAGACATTATATAGTATATAATGTTTAGTTATATAAAAAAATATACAATATAGTGTTTTTTTATTTAGTTTACATGCTGTACTGTACAAGCTTTAAAACTGTTCAACTGCCTTAAATTAACATTTAAGTATATAATATATTACAAGTATGTAATATCTAATACTATAAACTAATTAACATTATGTTTGAGTGTTAAAATGGTGCAAATTGTTAAAATTTTATCAGTTAGGAATTTGATTACCACAATAAATTATTTAATTTAAGCTCAAATTACTGAATTTATATTTGTATGAACTTACATACATACATACACACATGCATACATACATACATCATGTATGTATATATGTATCTATGAATATATGTATGTATGCATGTATGATACATACATACATACATACATACATACATACATACATACATACATACATACATACATACATACATACATACATACATTATGTATGTATGCATGTATGTATGCTACTATTATACATACATTTCATATGTATGTATGCATGTAACATACACATACATGTAACATGTACATATGTAACATGTACATACATACATAAATATATACATACATAGATGCATACATACATACATACATACATGCATACATACATACATACATACATACATACATACATACATACATACATACATACATACATACATACATACATAAAAATTAATTTTAATGCATAAAGACTCATTTTTTAACTGTAGCTATAGTCTTATCTTCCATCTCATTAAGTTAAAAGATATTTTAATATTAAAAATTTTATACTTGGTAATCATGTATTCCATAGAGATAAACTTATCAAACTTCCATAAATTCTATGGAAGTAAGATTCTATGATAGAACAATTAGAAGATAGTAGTTAGAATTAGAAAGTAAACTGTTATGTTCTAATAACTGTTTACTATAGCTAGTTTTAAAAATCAAAATTATTTTTTGTGAAAAATTGTAAAAAATTTATAAATGTATTAAATGTATTATAAATGTAGATTAAAAATAATAAGATTCTTTGTTCTGATTCTGCAGTTATTTATTTTTAGAAACAATTATAATGCTTTAGAACTATGGCTGAAGTGGATATACCAGTTTTTAAGGAAGGCACTGAATATGAAAGTTGGAGAAGTGAGGTATTAAAATGGCAACTGTTTACAACTATGGAACCTAGGAGGCAGGCTCTAGCTGTTCGAGCAAAACTTGGAGGGTCTTTGCGTGATTGTGCACTTATGATTGATGCAGGAGAACTATTTTGTGATGATGGTCTTGGTGTTCTTATTGGGAAACTTGATAAAGAATTTAGAGTAAAAAAAAGGTTTTAAACTTATTTTAATTCTAGTTTATTTTCACATTTTATTTTCTTATTTATAGCCATTATTTTTGAGATAAACTAGGTGTAAGATTCTTAATAATAGTAAAAATAGTAATCTTAGTTATAAGTAGCATGAACGAAAGTGTATGCAAATATATTACATATGTAAACTTGAAATTATGAAATGTTAAAACATTGAAACCTGAATCAAGTTTTACAATTTTACTTTCATTTGAAAACTACATTGCATCAATATCTCCCTAATTTTGATCGTTTGCATTTATTACTCTTTTATAAAGTCTTTTATTTATTATATAGTTTTAAAATTTTTATTAGACAATATGGTGATTAGTGTGCAAAGCTTCTGAAAAAAAAAAGCTGTGGTTCAAATCCTACCATTGGCAACTTCTTTTTTTGTTGAAGTTTTATAGTTATTACATGCATAACATATTTAAAGATATTATACACTATAACAAAGGATTTTTACAAAAGCTAAAAATTCACTGGGAGAAATTTGTTGTGTATGTGTTATGATTGATATACTTATGTTATTAATTTGCTCAGGTAATTGTCCTAATAAATTGCGGATGGTCTGAAAAAAGTTATGGTCTGAAACTTAATAGAGAAAAAATTTAATAAGACAATCCTGCTACTCCAGGAGGTTCCGCTGTGGAAAAAAAAAATTTGAGTTTGCAGGCAGTATATGGAACAATTATGTATAATAAATCTATAAAATTAGAAAACTTTTAAATTTTATTTTAACATTTAGAAATCTTTTTTGCTATATATATATATATATATATATATATATATATATATATATATATATATATATATATATATATATATATATATATATATATATACATATATATATATATATATATATATATATATATATATATATATATATATATATATATATATATATTTATGATATATATATATATATATATATATATATATATATATATATATATATATATATATATATATATATATATATATATATATATATATATATATATGTATATATATATATATTTTTTTGCTATAACTATATTAGCAAGATTAAAAAATTTTCAAAATTTATTATGCTAAGAGAAGGTCTTAAACCCCCCAAAATGACACTGATGACATCGCGCTAAACTCCTGAGCTATCAATAATATGCGTTTAGGAAAAAAAACAATGTCATTTTGCAGTGTCATTTTACTACTTGAACATTTTTTCTTGTGAATGATATTTTACTGCGTAATCAATTAGTTAATATTATAGGTTGGCATAGTATCTTGCCCAAATTCAAACTACTTAGTCAATGTATGTTCACTCCTCACATATTCTAATTTTTATTGTTATCTTTGATCAAATTGACAGATATCTTTCTCCTTATCTGCCATATATCACTGTTCTTAATGAATGTTGGAAAATAAGTAATAGTAATTGAGACCACACAGTTAACCAATCCGTTTTTTCAGTGAAAACCAAGCCTAAAAAACCATATCAAACCAAATCAATCTCATTATTCTTAGTATTATAAAGATCAAAAAGAAAGTTTAAAAGTCCTCATAGAAAATATTTAAAAATTTTAAAATACCAAAATAATTATTAAATTTAATAAATAATATATTTTATTAATAATTTAATATGAGAGCTTTTAAACCACAGAAAATATAAATAAAAAAGGAAAGAATGTAAACATAACTTCAAAATAGTTTGCAATTAGCTTGCCATTAAATTTTAAATAGACTTTTTTGTAAATTAGATATTTAAAAATATCACAACCAAAACAAAGCTGTGTTTTTATGACAAGACCATACGATCTTCTGCAAGTTTTTCGCATTATTTTAATATCAGTGATAATTTAATAACTTTTTGTCTCTACAGTTAGTGCTAAAAATTTTTGAATACATTTTTTTATTTTATTTTAAAAATTATAATTAAATCAGTTTATATTTATGATCTTGAATTTGCAACATTTTGATAAAAGAACATATGGCATACATCATCATCAAGTCTAATTTCAAAGCTTAAATATTACTTATAGTGGTTGCTTAGATCAAGCAAGAGATCCAGGGTTTAAAGCATGTGGGCAAATTTTTCTGCATTGGTAAGGTAGGAGACATGGAACGTTTTAACTTTCTAGTTAAAACCTTAATTCTATGGAAAAAAAACATTTTTTTAAAACCTTAAAAATTTTTTTTTTTTTTTAACATCTTTGCTTCCAACAAGGCTGCAAGCAACCACTAATTAGTGTTGGAAATTACTGGAAAAGAAAAGATGAAGATTGTAGAGCAAGGTAACGATTGAAAGACGACTTAAAAGATTACAAATTATATGAATCTTATAGGAAAGCAAGATAAAGGAAGCGAATTCCAAAGAACTGATGTTCTATAAAAAAAACTAGACAAATAAGAGTTGTTGGAGCACTTAGGAACAGTAACAGAAAAAGGATGAGACTTAATTGAATGACGAGTAACATGAGAATGAATTTTTGTAGATGGCACAAGAGACGCTTTTTCGTTATGAATTTGTTTTTCGTTTCTTTTTTCATTAGGAATTTTTTTTTCGTTAGTTTTTTTTAAATTTTTTTTCTAGTTTAAGTTTAGCTTAGCGTTTCTACATTCAGAGCATTTCTGAAATGTCTAAATCATCAAAACATATAAACAATCGTGGTCAAGTTGTCAAAAATTAAAATCGTTTGCGAGGTCAGCAATAGTGCTAGATCGCACGCCATTCCTGTCCAAGCCTATATATATATATATATATATATATATATATATATATATATATATATATATATATATATATATATATATATATATATATATATATACACAAATAGTATTGCGTACTAAGGTAAGCAATCTGACGTCATACTGAAATAGCCTGCTGCTGGCGGCTTCAGTACATACATCGACTGACAAATATCCTGACTCGCAGTGGAGTGCTGCTACATCGACTGAGGGTTTGGGATGAGGCAGCAATCGTTTCATTCATCCTTCGTTTTTTTCTTCTTTTTCTAATAAAGCCGTATGGGTTAAGGTAAGCAAAAAAAGTGAGCAAATGCTTATAAAAATACGCTTTAGTATGTGTATATATATATATATATATATATATATATATATATATATATATATATATATATATATATATATATATATATATATATATATACATATATATATATATATATATATCTTATACTGCTGAGTTAGGTGAGCATGATGATGTCATACTCACCTAATGTCAAATAGCCTGCTGCCGGGAGCTTCAGAACATACATCGACTGACAAATAGCCTGACTCGCCGTAGAGTGCTGCTACATCGACTGAGGGTTTGGTATGGGTCAGCAACATTTTCATTCATTATTCTTCGTTTTCCCTCATCGTTTTCTAAAAATGCTCACTTAATTTAGGCTAGCAAAAAAAGTGAGCCATTGCGCATATAAATATGCTATAGTAGATATACATATATATATATATATATATATATATATATATATATATATATATATATATATATATATATATATATATATATATATTGTATGATATTTTGTATTTGCAATAAAATACAAAAAACTCTTGTGCGTATAAGAGTGCTCAATAATAAATAAATAGGATTTATTTATATTATTTAATAGAGCATTATATTAATTTATAAAAATAAAGAAAACAACTTTTTATGTTACTAATAGTTTCATGCCTAAAGGCAATCACCAGCCATGTAATACAAAACAAGAAACAAAAAAAAACCGACGGATAAAATAGGCGGGATTGAAAAAGTGTATTTTGGAGTAAGTGAAACTGCTTTTAAACTTAGATACGCTAATCATACAAAATCTTTTAACATCGAAAAATATAAAAACGATACTGAGTTGTCTAAGGAAGTATGGAAGTTAAAAGAAAATGGAGTAAACCCGACAATTAAATGGAAAATTTTAAAACGTTGTAGATCTTACAATCCTACAATAAAACGATGCAACTTATGTCTATACGAAAAGTTTTTCATAATATCGTACACCTATAATAACTTATTAAATAAGAGGAATGAATTAGTATCTAAATGTAGACATAAAGGCAAATTCCTCCTTTCAAATTTCGATACGGGTGATTAGGCAGCCCTTTTTAGTTTTTTCTTATCTTTTTGTTTTTGTTTTGTTTTGACGACGGAGCACACTCCACTGTAACTTTATATTTTAACGGGTTTTTTTTGTTTCTTGTTTTGTATTACATGGCTGATGATTGCCTTTAGGCATGAAACTATTAGTACCATAAAAAGTTGTTTTCTTTATTTTTATAAATTAATATATATATATATATATATATATATATATATATATATATATATATATATATATATATATATATACATATATATACTTATATATATATATATATATATATATATATATATATATATATATATATATATATATATATATATATATATATATATATATATATATATATATATATATATATGTATATATTAGGGTGTAAACTAGCCCTGTGGGACTCCATCAAATGCGGTATTCCCAAATGCTCATAAAATTAAAATTCCCAATTTAAAAGTAAAAAAATCCCATTCTCCAAATAAAGTTTGCCAAATTAAAGTTTAAAATTAATTTTAAAAGTTATTAAAAATTAATTACTATTAAAAACTAATAGAAATATAACAAAAAGTAATAGTTTATATTTCAAAACTTGAAATAAAATTGTGGCTATTGGTATAACTACGCACTTGCATAACTGCAAAAATGTCCCTTAGAAAAAATCTTTTTGAGAATTGGGATTTTCCAAAAATCCCTAAAATTGCTCTGAAAAGAAATTCATTTCTCAAAATTTGCAAATAATTTTTTGCAATGCGTTCCAACAACAGCAAATATTAAAAAAAAAAAGTTAGCAAAAAATAAAGTTTATTTTAAAGATTTACAAATTTGTTTGGTTTAACACCCACAAATGCTATTTCTTTAAAAGTTTTGCCCTTTTTGGCTGGAAAGTTAAATAAGTTAAATAAATATTTTTGATTATAACAAACTAATTCTAGAAATTTATTTAGTAAGGAAAATAGATTTCTTTACTTTACTGGTTGCTTATAGTTAAAACGTAAATTAAAAACTTAAGTTAAATACCTTTAATATTAAGAATGTTTTTTTTTATTACAACAAACTAGTACTAGAAATTTAAAAAACAATAAAAGTTGTTTCGCCTCTTGCTCGAATTTAAAACAGAAACAATTTTTTATTGTTTCAATGAGCTATAGTCATAATAACATTTTATGACTATGTATGAAAAAATAATTATTGGTATTCTTTCTTGCCACGATAGCATAAAATTGTTTGCAATCTTTTGTAATTCTTTTGTAATTAAACGGTGTTTGTTGTTGTTTTTTGCTGAGTCTTGGTAATTTTAACTTTATTTAGCTATGTGATTTATGTATAGAGAAAGTTAATATTAATTATAAATTTGAACTCACAATAAATGTGAAATAAGAAATTTACAAGCTTGTGTTTACTATTTTCAAAACCTTTTTTATTTTTCTATTTTTAAAACATTTCTTTTGATGATACAATTTATTGCATGATAGTGTAAGGGTTTGTGCATAAAGGACAAAACAGAATTTGAATAATAGTTAGAAGTAAAAGCAATGCTCAATATAATTTTTTATAAAGTCCGGAACAAAATGTTCAAACAAAACTTTTTTGGGTCGATTTTTGCATTTCTTTAATTAAATAGTTCCAATTTAATATTGTTGGTTTTTTTAAACAGACTTTAATTTTTACGCTGTAACTGATAACGCTTGTTTTTTAAAATTCTTTTCAACTTGACAATTTTGAAGTTTTTAGAATTTAAATACAATAAAAAAAAATCTTTACATTACAAAAAACTTTTAATTGTTGATCTTTTTTAAAGTTTTTATTTAACGCGAATGCTTTAAAAAAAGTCAAAAATTAATTGTAATGATTGGTTAAATTTAACACATTATGTGTAAGTTAATATTACATTTCATTTTTTTAAAGTAACACCCTATAAATAAAATTTCTGACAAATTTTAATTGCATTTATTATGTAATTTATTTCATGCACACAAAAAACCTTTATACTTATTTGAAAGAGGATTTTATAATCTATTAAAATTTAATTTAATTAAGTTAAAAATATTATTTAAATATTGAAAATAAAATGGTCAAAGTAAAGGACATCTAAAAAATGATGCAATTTTTTTTCCAAAAAAATCGAGGAAAAGGTAAAGCGTTTGTTGCTAAGCAGTTTATGGAATTGGGTTTACCAAGATCAACTGCATACGATAAAATCGTAAAATTGGGGAATGCATCTCTAAAAAGAAAAGTTTGAAGTGGTCGAATCGCTAAGGTAACTACTAAAGAAAATATTCCAAAGATTGCTGCATTTTTTGAAAATATATCAGGATGCTCTCAAAAGATAGTAGCTTAAGTTTTTAACTGTAGTCAAACTCCAATTTCCCAAGTATTAAAAACAATGACTAACATTTGAACTTTCAAAAAAGCAAATCGTCCAGATCGTAGCCATCAGCAGAAGAAAGCTATGCGTCCTAAATGTTGTAAATTGTACGAAAATTATAAAAACTTGGATTTTGCTATGGATGATGAAAGCTATTTTACCTTAAACAATAGCACATTAGCTAATAATGATAGGTTTTATGCCCCTGATCCTTCTCAATGTTCTGACGAAGTAAGATACAATTTGCGTAAAAAGTACGAGTACAAGTTTTAGTTTCTTGTTGCATCAGCCCCCGTGGAATAAGCCCTCTTTATATTGATCACAGTAAGCAGGCAATCAACCAGTATACTTATAAAGAGATACTAGAAAAAAAAATTTACTTCCTCTAGTATCAGAATATTATAAAAAAAAGCAATGAGTTTATCTTCTGGCCTGATCTAGCTTGATCACATTACACAAAGTCGGTCATCGACTTTTTAAAATTGAAAAAAATCAAAGTTGTACCCAAAGATATAAACCCAGCTAACGTTCCAGAAGCAAGACCAATTGAAAACTTTTGGGGTGATTTAAAACGGCTAGTGTACGAAAATAATCGGAGAGCTGAGAATTTGGAAGAGCTTGAAGCAAGAATTAAATATTGCTATTCAAAGATAAATAAAAAAATTTTACTCAAATAAAACATCTTTCAAAAAAACTTTATGATATTGCTAAATATGGTATTTGAAATAATTATTTTAATATATTTATAAACTAGATATACTAACATATTAACAGTTGAATTATTAAATAATAAAACTTATTAGTTCTTAAAATATTAATTTTTAAATTTTGTCCAAAATTTTATTTATGAGGTGTTAGGTATGTATGATGAATTTAAACAGTTGAAACTATTTCTAAAAAAGTTTTAAATGTTTAATTTATCATAAAAAATCTTTCTAAACATCTTTTAAAATAATATTTTTTTTAAGTTACTTTAAATTATAAGTTAAGTTAAATCTTACCATGATTTAATTGCTTTTTGTTTCTATTTTTGCAAAGAATTGTTTAAAAGTTTTTTTTTTAAACTTGACTTACTAATCAAAGCATAAAATGGTTACTATCATAAATTACAATTTTATAAATACTAAGTTATTTTTTAAACAATTTTTTTTGCAACTTTTTGAAAAAAATTTCTATTTAACTAAAAAATATTATATATTTTTTCTTTTCAATAACTCGATTTCATTTTTCAATAATTTAAATAAAATTTGTTCATTTATTAAACAATCGATAGAATTAATTTGTAAAAGCATTTTGCGTAACAATAAAACGTTTCAAAAAATAAGTTTTGAAGTAATTTACTTCAAACGCAATTAAAAACATACAAACTCAAACTACAAAGTCTTATATTTTACCTTAAAAATTTGGTTCTAGAGACTTTGGAAAATTTTTTATTAGTGTTATTGACAAAGACAATATTATTAAATTAATATTACCTTTCTCAAGAAGTAGATTTAATAGTAAATAATTTTTAAATCTTATGACTACACCTTTTCATAAAATCTGTCTCCACAATCAAGTCCTATGTTAAAATCTTAATTTGACAATTTCATTATATTTATGATATATATATGACATTTATGATATATATATGACATATATATGAATACTGTTGTCATATTTGGGCTGGTTCTTCTAACGATTCACTTTCTCTTCTTGACAAGGTCCAAAAACGCATTGTAAATGTTGTTGGACCTGGACTATCTGCTAAGCTTGAACCTCTTTCCCATCGTCGTAAAGTTGCATCTCTTTCTCTCTTCTACAAATACTATCATGGTCACTGCTCAAAGGAGTTATCATCTCTAGTTCCATCAACTAAAATTCATTCTCGTTTTACTCGTCATTCAGCTAAGTCTCATTCGTTTACTATATCTGTCCCTGCATGCTCTAAAAACTTTTATTCATCTAGTTTTTTTCCCCGCACTTCAATCCTTTGGAACTCTCTCCCATCTTCATGTTTTCCTGACTCATACAACCTTCAACTTTTCAAGTCTTCTGTCAACCGTTTCCTTGCTCTATAACTCTGTTCTTTTTTTATTCCTAGTAACTCCCAACTTAATAGTGGTTGCTTGCAGCCTTGTTGGGAGTGAATGCAAATAAAAAAAAAAAAAAAAAAAATATTGCCATATCAAAAATAAAAACTGGTATTTCTCAAGTATTAAATTTTCAAGTCAAGAAAACACAAAAAACAAAAAAACAAAAAGATTTAACATGAATTAAAAAAAAATCAAAGGAAACAATTAAAAACAGCTACACTTAGAAAGTAATTGGTCATACACCACTAATCTTTTAATAATGTTTATTTTAGCAGTTTTCAAAAAACAGATTTAATATGGATTGGTAAAAACTCAATAATTATTAAATAGATATATAATTAAAACACTTATATAAAACATATTATAAAAAAGTTGTTCTATTGTAGGTACTTATAGTGTTGTTATTAGTTTATTATTATTGTTTGTTAATCTTCTTATTATTGTTATTATTACTAGTTTTTATATTTTAATAGTTTATATACTTATTTACAATTTACAATCATAATTAAGTTCTTTTTTTCCCATTTTTGTCTTGTTAACTGCTATGTTGTTAGTTTATTTTAGCTTTTTTGTGTCTTGTTTTTTAGTTCTACAAACAGAATTCTAGATGAAGATACAAATTATTTATTGAAAAGTATATGGGTAGCTGACAGTTCATCAGATGATAATTATACTCATTCTTCAAAAGTTTCATCTGATTCAAGATCTAAAACACGAAGAAGTAGGTTTGATGTTGTTCCATCTAAAGAATCATCTCCAATACGCAGCAGTCGTAGTCGATTTGATTACAAAAGTAATTCACCAGTAGAACATAAAAGTCGATTTGACCAAAAGTTTGATGATGAACGAGAAAGTAATCAATATGATCAAAGTTTCGAAGACGATCGACGAGGATGTAATCAGTAAGAAAAATTCTTAAAAGTTTAATTCTTTATTTAAAAGAAAGTTCCTTGCAAAAAGATTTTTTTCTAATTACTGTATTTAAGTTATCCTTAATGAACAATACTTCTGTAACCTCTGTGGTACCTAAAGATTTCATTTTATGTTGTTTCTTATTTATTAATATAAATCTACTTAATGTTGGATTTAAGAACTTTAATTTGAAAAGATATCTCTTTTTGATTACCTAGAATAGATAGCAGATTTTGAATGTGACCTCTCCTGTGACAGGTTTGGTCATTTACTGCAATATTTAATAATATTTATGTAATATTGTTGATATTCTACCTAATAAATGATATAAACTCATCCAATTTTCTTTACTTTATGTTTTATTGAATTTCTGACCTTTTTTTTGGGTATATATCTGATTTTTCCTTACATTTCATGAAAAACATTTCCATTTCATTGATTGGAATCTGCGAAGATTTTTGTTGTGCTTGCTGTTTTTTTATTTCTGGTTTTATTTGCTTTAAGGTATGTTAATTGTGTTAAATGGGTTCATAAGAGAGTAGTTGCATACAAGATACTATATATTGTTTTTAATTTGGTTCTGAGTGTATAAAATGTGCTCTTTTTTGTTGATTACAGAAAAGTCAAAGGAGAGAATAAAATAAATAGTAATAGAAAAATTGATTATGTAAGTAAGTTTTGTTATCTTGGAGTGTTAATTTGATCAGCTGCTGTAAGAGGCATCAAGAGAAAATAAGATTTTTTTTTTTTTTTTTAATTTTTTATTTTAATTCACCTCCTCAAGGCTGAGAAGGCCACTACAGACGAGGAGGCTACTTATTTGTGGCTATAACCCTCTCTCAACTCTATAACTCTGAAACACGAACCTTGACGAACAAGGCCGCTGCGCGGAGAAACGAGTTGTGCCTTTGCCAAGTTCTCCACTTCTCTACAAGTTTTTCTAACAGCAAGAGGTGTATCAATAAATGTTGAAGTAAAGTTATCACCATATGTTTCCAGAATGTTATGATCAAAGGTAATTAAGCACAGGTAATGAAGGTTGATGATATCCAGAGTCTTGAAAGAAAATAGATAATAATGGTCAGATGGGTGTGTTACTCTAAAAGGTTAAAAAAGAAAGGAAGATTTTAGACAGAATTTAAGAATAGTAAGTATATCTGGTAGGCTGTGTCAGAAGGTTATAGAGGTTTGGGCATTTGTAATGTAAAGATGCAGGTGATTAAGTATCAGTATGCAGGGAGATACTAGTTTCAAGAAAAAGAGGTCAGATATGGTAAAAATGCATCACAGATGATATGAAAGTGCATCACAGATGATATGAAAGTGCATCATAGATGATATAAAAGTGCATCACAGATGATATGAAAGTGCATCACAGATGATATGAAAGTGCATCACAGATGATATGATATGATATGAAAAAACTTCGTTCAAGTAAAATGATGCTTAAGATGTGTCTGTTAGAAAAATGCAGGGATGCAGAGTCTCAAAAGGGATTCGGCTTTATATCTCTATTTTTTCCTGGTCTCTGGTGTTCAGAAGCTGAAAACATGTTGGTTGATTTATGATCTGCAAAAAGAAAAAAATTCATGAGATTTAATGACTTAGAACTTACTATTTTTAAGCCTAAAGTCCCGCAGTCCTTGCGGCCATTATACCTAAGGACTCCGGGTTCAAAAATTAGTTGTCCCTCTAAACTAAAAGTCTTAACTTTTTTTTCTATCTAATAGCTTTTTTATATTTAGAGATTTAGAGCTCCTGGATACCAAAAAATAGGAAGAAGTAATTTTTTTGTGACTTTCAAATCCCAAGTCCTATTTGAGACTACACATCCCTGGAGGAATGTCATTATGAGAATTGTTTTATATATGTGGAAGACACCTAAAATATGCCTTTTCTCTATTAGGTTATCTTTCTTCTTTTTACAAAAATTACCATACTACTTTACTTTACAACTTTATAAGTTATCATATTTACTATAAGTTCTACTTGCCATCTTTGTGACTCGTCATTCAGTAATGTTGCTTCTTTTTATAGGAAATGTTCCTTCATCTTAATAAAACTTTTATTTTTCTTATTTTTTTCTTTTAACATCAAAATTTTTCTTGCCTTCTTTACACTCTGGTTGCACTATAATAAGAAAATCAAAAGTACCTTGTATTTACTTTGAACCAATGTCCACATAAAGTAAGATTCATGATGAAGATGATTATATAAAAATAAACTTTCAGTATTACTTTACTTTAAATAAAAATATTGCTCATTTTTATTTAGACATAATCAAAGAAAAGAAACTGAGGAGTTAAGTGCAGCTGAAAAAGCAAGGCAAAGAGCAGCTCAGCTTTCAGCAAAGCTTGTTGCAGAAGGAAAATACCAAACAAAGCCAACATCTTTACTGGTTGGTAACCATTTAATTAAAAATTTTTTTAACAAAATAGTGATGATCTACTTTTTTTTTTATTAATTCAATTTCTCTTTAAGCCAAGTTCTGTATGGAGTCCTGCAGAACAAATTAGAAGAAATAATTCAATTGAAATGCAGGGTCCAAAGGTTCCTTTAATCAATGCTACTCAGACAAGAAGTATTCCTGAAGTAAAAAAAATGGATAATGGAGGGTATTATGCAGAGTTTGACATAAATGATATTTCAGCAAGGTGACTTTAAATTCAATAAAATAAAAAATGTTTAGATTCAATGAAATAAAAAAATTTAAATTCAATAAAATAACTTTAGAATGGTTTAGTAATCAGCACATCA